CTCCTGGATTTCAAAAACTCACCAATAGTTATTGTAATTTTCAAGGTTTTCTTGTGGCGTCCAAAATGTTGCCTAATCAGTTGGTTTTCAGGGGCGAAGCAGCACTGTGTCCAGCATATGTACAGGGGCACTCAGAGCTGCTCGCCTAGAAGCTGGACATGTCCTTGCACAACAACCCTGCTGTCAGTCAAGCCGCCCCACTACGTTGGGCATGACATTTAAAGTTGGGCGAAGAAGGCAGACAAAGTGCCCTTACCTCCTCCGTACTAGCCCTGCAGTGAAGCCCCTGTGTAGCGTTTGCAGATGAGTGTGTTTGTGTGTGTTGTGACTTTGGCCAGACTTGGTCTGGCATAAGGACAGCTGTCACATCTCCAACCTGTCACATGCGATACAGAGCAGATGCCAGAGGCCGGGGCATCAGGAGACACAAGAACGGACACAAGGAAAAGTGTCCTCGCGCTTGTGTGTACGTGCGTGTTCATGCACGCATGTCTGAAAGAGTAAGGAGGACGGAAGACGTGGGGTGGTGGCCACGTGAAAGGGTTTGACTCGGAGGCACTCGCTAACCTTGATGTCCGAACACACACGCACGCGTGCACACTCTTCACCCGCTTTCTTAAATCCAGTCCCTGAGCAGTTGAGTCAAATTCTCTGGGGGCATGTAGTAAATACTGCCTCAACGTCCAACTACCACCCCTGCAGGACGCCCTCCTTGCGGTCTTGCAGTCGTCTGACCCAGGCCATTTCCGTGCTCATTACTTACCAATGAAGAAGTCTCTTCATTAAGGGCCTGCCTATGGCCTGTGGAGCAAAGGCTTTTTTTAATGTTCGTTCTCTGCTAATTCTTTACATAAGCAAGCAGCAGATGCCCTCAAGTGTATTGGGTTAAAAGGGCTGAAGATGTGTGTATGTGTGTAAAGAAACATTAATGGCCATTTGGGGGCTTTTATTTCATTATAGAGAGAAAAGCTCCTCTGTTTCAATTTAAGTAATGGTTTCAAGGCAGCCAGGTTAAAAGGTCAACTTTTGTTCTCATTAAGATATTTTTTCACAAGCTTCCTGTGTAGATTTGCAAAGTTTTGGGAACAGAAAATTATGAGAGAGAATTCAAATGCCTGCAATTTCTCACCACACTGCAAGGACACCCCCTCAGCATATTCTGTATTCCATAATCAAAACCAGCTGTCAAGTAAATCATTTGTGTTGCCCTTCTACACTTTATTTTATAAGTCCCACTTAATAGGCATGAAAACTTTTGTGCAGCGCAAAAGCTTCAGATACAAACATCTTTGTTTCGCTCTCAGTAGTCACAAATAAGCCACAGTATTTTAACAATGTGCAGTGGGGTCTAAAAGTCTGAGACCCGTTTCCAATTCAACTGAATGGGAAAGTGGTCTCAGACTTTTAGATCCCACTGCATTTTAAAAGCAAGTTATACTTCCTCTATGCCTGAAGGATTGTGGGTTTTGAAGCAACTGTTCATGGGACTTAAGCCATCATTATGATGAAGAATGTTTAAAGTGATACAGGAAATCCCACAGCTGCATAGCAACTACCTGAGGTCCCAAATTACTTCAATGCAGTTTGTATCTGCTCACACAAACAGAGATGTGTATGAGTACAGCAGTGGTCACCAACCAGTCCAAATATGAGCTAGGATTGAAGCTAGAAGCTGATGGGTCAGATGATAAGATTTGCCTGCAGCAATACGCACCTTGCCAACAGCCAGTTATAATAGTTTCAATTATATATTGTTTTGTTCACATATTGTTTTTTTTAATGTAATACATTTGACTACACACATGACTCATGATGGATATTTTCATAGTTTGTCCTGAGGAAATGAAGGTACGGCAAGAAATCAAACACACCCTTCAGCCTAGAAGACAAATCTTCAAATGTGACACATTAACAGATTAAAAAAACGCAGCAGCTATTAGGCAACAGGTGTAATAAAAGACTGCCATAATAGACAAGGTGTCATAATAGATATAGTGCACTCGTGCCAGGTTTTGTGATGCACTGATGCACATCCTTGGTTTTACCTTGACACCGTGTTGGAGATCCTGTCGGCTTCTGAAAAAAGGGATTATTATTATAAACAAATTTGCAACAGCAGTGCTACACTGTTAACTTCTGTGATAAATACAATGCATTTTCTGTAAGTCCCAATGTCATTTACTTATGCAAAGCTTTTAACGTAAAACAAGAGCAGCAGTGATTGCTTTGATTTAGCAGCTTAAACTATTTGCGCAATGCGGTCTACATGTGGCTTCAGGAGTGAATACAAGCAAATGACCTTTCAACTGAAAATCCTCACGAATTCCACAACAACAGGTTGATCGTGATCGACAGGTTGGTGACCCAGAAGCTCTTTAAATTTAATAGGTGTAAATAATATTTAACAACTCATGTTGGCAAATAGTGTTTGCGTGTTTCTTCTCAGTTTTATAAAAAGTTTTGTGTTTTTGAAATAATCATGTGAAGTTTGATGCGTAGTGGTACTTAACTTAAACCGACAAAAAACTATTTTTATCTGCGCAGCTTCAGCTCCCTTGCACAGCACGTTAATTTAGAATGGCAATAGCTAAAAGTTAAAGGGTCTGCCTTTAGTTTTTTTGTTTGTTTGTTTCATTGATGCAGTATGACTTGTGACAGCTCTTCGCTGTCTTCTGGGACAAGATGAGTCTGAATCATTCCACAAAAAGGCCGTCCCTTCAACAGCACCCTTGGTCTGACCGAGTCCCGGGATGGTCCACTGCAGCCCGCGCAGAGCCGCCCCATGTTCCTCTTCTGGCCTTCTCACCTTCCTGTTGATTTTCATTCATCTGTTTACTCTGTTCCAGTCCAGAGGAAGCATCCATTAAATCACCTTTAAAGATGAGAACTGGACTTGACAGCTACAAACTGGAGCAAAACAATCTTTTCACAAAAACCCCACGCCCACCCCAGACCCACATCGCCGTGCCTGTTCATGTCTGTCCCATATCGTCAGCGGCAGAAGCCGCGAGCGCTGCTGTGAGACAGAGGGCAGTTCTTGTTTACTAATGCACACTATATTGATGTGAGCTGATTCCATCAGGCAACACTTTTGGATGCCACACACCCTGCCGTCTTTCACTGCCTCCCTTCAACTCCTTATGTCTTTACCCCCTAATGTATCTGCCGCGACAAGGCAAACTGCGTGACAGTCTGCAGAGCTGCAGCCATTGTTGTGACTGCTGATATGTGCATGTTTGTAAATGCTCTGTAGACTAACGAACTTCATTAATGAGCCTTATATTTGCACTTCATGATACATACTTGAGGATAAAACTCTTAAAACCTGCTGCCTCTGGACCTGAAGTTTGTCATACACACAGGGCTGCAACTAACTCATATTCATTTCATTGTTTTGATTTATTTGATTTTATTTATTTATATTTGTTTAATTCAACACTGTAGTTAGAATCATTAGATTACATGCAGAGAAAATTAATTCTGCTCCACTTGGAGAGGACATGTTCAGTGAAGGAATTTTATTTTCCACCCACTCAGACGTATTTTTCTCAAACCAATGGTCACTTCAGTTTTTGATTAACAGGCATGTGTAATTAGTTAATAGGCCTGATCAAGTTTTAGGCTGCCTTGCTGCAAACTGGTTTCACTTTGCCTCTGTCCATCATGTATGGTGGTTAGATTTCCTCTCACCACGGCGGGCAGCGATTATAACAAATGGATGAGTTCAAACCATCTGTAAGACATTTGATTAACGCTGCCGAGCCTCTGTCGGCAGAGAGAGGCCAGAATTGTGCTTGATGTGGAATCACTCTAATGACAGTGCCGCGGAAGTAGCCACGCTCTAGGAAAAACATCACAGAATGAGAAATTAGAACCTCGGAGAGACAGACGAGGTTTGTAGCGAGCAGCTCCGGGTGGCCTCTGCATCCATCTCACACATGATTTGATTGGTGCTCCCAGTCATCAGCTCAGCCTCATGGTGCAGCTGTTGAAGCTAATGTGGCATGAAACAAAACAGATGTTTCTTCTGGTGTCTTTCCTCCTTTCCTCTCCATCTTCTTCAACATTTTGGGACTTGCACACTTGTTGTGTAACCCATGGTTGGTTTTCCATCAAATCTGAACCCTGTAACCAGCATCTGAAACCTTTTCAGATCTCCTGACGTTTAGCTTCTAACTATTTGAAATTACAAAAAGTATAACTCAGGTTGGCATTCACAGAGCAGTACCTCAAACTGCTTTAGATAGATAAAATATTCATTGTACCGGAATGACAACCTGTTTGATGTATATGTTGCTCAAACTATAATCCTGATGTTTAGCATCATTTTCAGCATCTTAGTTTAGGGTGTTAGCATGCTAACATTTGCTAATAAGCACAACTACAGCAGAGGCATATGGGAATGTATTTAGTCATAAACCAAAATAGTGGACCAGTTTTTACCAGTCTTTGAAAGTTTTGACCTGATGATGGCGCTATGAAAAGTTAAGGGGTTGCCAGAGTTATTATAATCCATCCTGAGGGGAACAGTAATGTCTGTACAATCCATCCAAAACCACAAATGTCAGCCTTGTGGTGGTGCTAAGGGAGAAGCCAGAGGATTACCAGCATCATTAAGAAACATCAGAACCAAACCGTTCCAGTCCATCAAGTAGATATTGTGACATTTAACTGGGTAACTGAAAACCCAAAGATCCCCAAAGACAGTCTGCATCTTTCTCTGGGGACCATGAATGTCTGTCCAAAATTTCATGGCAATCCAACCAATAGTTGCTGAGATGGTGAGGAGGGCAAACCAAACATCACACAGATGTCACACGGCTAGCATGGCTAACATAAAGAGAGAACAGATCCATGTATCTATTGATAGATTGATCGGCTTCGAATGGTATCTAGAACCTAACCATAACAATCTCATGTATGGTCTATGTAAAGGAGTCCCAGCCCACATCTCAATGGTATGTTGCTTAGGTGTTGTGTTTTGTCATCGTCTTTCTCAG